AATAATATTATTATTATTTTCATTTTATTCACGGTACAGCGTTAGCCACTAGGTTATTAGCTTACAACAAAATAAATAAAATATTATTACAWTGCACAGAGTCACAGAGATGACAAAAGTAGAAGCGGCGTGAAGTGAGAAAAAATAAATAAATTCTCGTATTGTTTAAATATAGTGCGGTGTGTTGCGTTTAAAAAAAAAAAAAAAAAAATATCATATAATAATTTATGTACAAATCGTTTAATATAGCAAACACGTGGTCGAAAAGGTTCAGTTTGATATCTATATATTCTATATGTATAAATATGAAATTTCTACCCAGTATTTTGTATGAGCTATTATAGGTAAGTTTATTTTATTGATAAAATCTAAATGGTTAAACTCAGCAAAATTTAAATCTACAAAGGCCAGAGTCATCTATACTTACTTACATAGTTACATATATGTCATACACCCATTTACGAGTACATACCGCAGAACCCTATACTGATTATCGTATTATTGCGTCGATCATTTTTTATTATTGTGTACAATCGCGTCCAATACGTCAGCACCTACGAATTATTTTACATAACTCGTACATAGAATTTCGAAAAATATTTACTTTTATAGTTATGAATTAATGATCAATACATCGTTGTATAGTATATTAAAAGTAAAGAGGGTAAAAATAAATTAATCTTCAAAATATACAGGTAGGTACTTGAAAAACCGCGCTTAAAAAAATTAGTTCGGGAGGACGAAAATTATCCGAAAGTTAAATGTAGGGGATATCCACAAAATATTCRTGAAACCGCAATGAATAACGACAAAGTCATGAGCGATCATAACACAATCATACTGAATCGGACTGGCTAAAAGTTAAAAAATGCAACAGGTGAMCGATTTGTGTTCGAGAAAAATCAATTTTACAGCCAAAGGGTATAGTTTATTAACATCCTCTGCTTAAACCTTCTCTGCAGTAGTTGAGCAGAATCCCACATAACATTACAGAAGGTTTTGAAAACTCGCAAATTGCGAATTAACTTTAAAAATAATAATAACAGTTTCTACGCGCCTTACACACAAAAAAAAACAAGATATTTATTAGTTATAACTATAGTCGTCGCATGGTTACCGTGCTGACAAAAAAAAAATCAAAACATTTATGGTTTTTCATTTTACTAAGACCACGGACAACGTTCCATAGGTACCTACATGCAACCACAGACACAAGTCGCAGTTATTGAACTTCGCGCCGATAACAAACGGATATAAAATATATAAAACTGCATCTACGCTCGGTTGGCGGTTTTCATATTATATTTCACATTTATTTTTTGTCACGCCAACCGCGTTTTTTTACACAGATGTTCCTACGCATTAAACGCATCACACAGCTATTGATAAATATACATTGTCATATGTACATTTTTATAAAGTTATATATMTTATTTATATAATTAGTCATTAGTCATTATAATTTATAGACACCTATATGTATTAAACTAATTTACGTCCGCAGAACTATATTATGTTATAGACAAATTATTTGTATGATCGTTGAGAATCAAAATTTCAGTAATATTTCAATAGCCATAATTGTATATTTCATATCTCTGCAGTCTATACACGCATCATAGAAATCTGAGATCAAATTAACCACTAAAATTGTCAAAATTATTCACATTTGAACGTTGTTTCTAAGCTAAGACTTGTCTGCGTATACGATTCTACAGTACAATACACACTCCTTAGTCTGGTGACTTAGACGGCTTAGTGTAACATTATGTATAAATATTATATGTAATTGTATATGTAATATGTATATATTACAAAATCTTACTAAAACTGCGAAAGCTCGAAAAGTGACTATATCTACTATACATTTATGATTTACGTATATACCTCCAATTTTTGAGGTCTAATTTTAATACCAAACATTTTTTTTTTCAACAACCCTAATTTACAAAATCTTTAAAATTGACTGATTGAAAATTTTTTTTTTCAACAACCCTAACTTACAAAATCTTTAAAATTGACTGATTGAAAATTTTTTTAAATTTTGATTTATAAAATTCATATATTCCACTAACTATTATCACATTTATTAACAGTGTATATAGGAACTAATGATTTTATAAAATCCCTTGTCATTTATATGATTTGTTTGAGAATATAAGCACTTGTCTTATTATGTAGTATGAATCATACTATATATACATATATACATACATATATTATGGAAATTGTTGTACTTAKAATAAAGAAAACTTGGGATTTTTCATGTGTGTGAGCGCGGGGCCTAAATGAGAAGCCCATAGCACGGGGCCCGGGGCRTGGGCCCCGCTCGCCCTTGCCTAGGGACCGCCCTGAGTATGATACGGTTATTCGTAAATAAACGGATAGCATTTCTGAAAACCCTTTTTATTTTGTCTTAAATGTATCTTATCACTAGTTTGCTAAACATTTTTTTACTTACGATGGCAATAAAATTTAACAAAAAAAATGAATAAGTTTTTAATATTCATGGTAAATTGCGTACAAATTCAGCAAGAACTATGTTCAACGATATACCCTACTGATTGATTGCAACGCATCTTTCAAAAATATAATAGTATGCACTATGCAATATTAAATCCTTTATATGCAGAAAAAATACCCTGAATCAAATTCAAAGTTATGCATTAGAAATATTTTAAGTGTCACTTCTATCGTGAAACACGATGTTTATTGAAAATCACCTAAAAATGCAATATAGGTACATATAATAAATTATAATATTCTTTAAATCGTGTTGTTTTATTTAGGACAACCAAAGTCGGGTAGGTTGTTGTAAATATATACATATAGACTACATAATTTCCTGTTGGTAAATATTATCCTATTGTGCAATACGCAGTGAATAACAAAATATATGATTATATGTAAATTTAATTGTACCTGCTATGCTTGTACCTATATGGCTATATATGTACGTGTATGAAGTATGTAATAGATATATAAAGTTGTAATGAAGCACTTTTAGCGTTGTCGTATCGTTTTGAGTGTATATATTCGTTGGTGTGTCTTGAATACATTTGTTAATACAATAATACTTAATATTCTTTCATTGGCGCGAAAATAAAATTGGTTGTTCGCGATGTAAGGCATYGAGTGTAACAACCAACAAGTTACCCCTAACGAACATCACTCGATGTCATTGAATATTGCGGAGTACGTTTCAATGAATATACTTAAGTATAGTTTATGAACATAATATATAGATAATGTAGGGCGAGTGGACAACTTCCTAAACCAAAGTTAAAATGCATTAAAGTTGCTCAATTTTTAAACAGCGTTTAACAAATTCACTTGATTCGAAATATTATGCTGTAGCAGTATTCTATGTTTCAGGGCTCGGTTCTTCTAGCATATTTTGCTTATTTTTTTTGCTCAACATAAAATCTAGCAATTAGCAGAGTGCTATGGAGACTCATATCATGTTACAATGATCTTAAATATGAATTTTGAAAGTGCTTTTTTTTGTTTATTTCGATTGTTTTTAAACAAATTGCTTTTTTTTCAAGTTTTTCTGGATATTTTTGCTTTTTTGCATATTTCTGCTTAATTATGACACGTAAACTTAGAGGTTTTAGTTAGTTTATATTTTTTTTCATGGTAAAGCTAGAATAAAAAATATTTTTTCTACTTTGTATCATATTTCCTAGTAATAAACACCAGGGCCCGCATTTGTTTGCTTATCTACTAATCGGTCCGATCGTCTCAGGCTCTTTGCAATAGGTATATCATTTTTACTATAGGAAAAACTATTTATAATTCGATTTACTATTTACTTCTAGATAAAAATAAACATTATTTTTCGATCGAGATGTGATCAACACATTACACAATAAGCTGAATAAGCATTCAGTGATTCAGTCTACTTTAGGTCACGCCATCACGTTGTTGTGTTCGTTAAAACTCGTAGTTAGTGTCCGCATTTATTATTATTATTTTTATAATGTCAAAAAAGAAGTTAAAGAAATACGTATCTGACTTTTCAACCGATGGTCATGTTCTGTAAAATGTGTGAAATTAAAATTAAATTTGAAAAAAGTATAATGTATCACAGCACATTAAAACGGATAAGCACCAAAAAAATATTAAACGTAAAAATGATCAAGCTCAGAGAAAAGTCCAACAACTTTTAACCAATCAAAATTCAGCGAAATCAGAGTTTATTATGGATTTATGTCAAGCAATGGTGTTTGCGAACATTCCATCAAATAAGCTTTCTATAACAATGTATTTCGAACATATTTAGAGGTGTATACTGGTAAAAGTATTCCAATGAAAGCGACATTAAAAAAAGGTTATATTGACGATATTTTTAATTCTACTTTGGACAATATGAACATTTTTTTTTAATAAAATTAATCAATTTTTCTTTTGTTATTCTTAAAACAAAAATTTATTTATTTTTCATAAAATCTTTAAGAAGTACCTAACCTACTCAAAAAGATTTGATATTAATAACATATTTTTTTTTTATTTAAATTGTTAAAATAATGTAATAAAGAAAAATTGCATTTATAGTTTTTGTCGTGATTTTTTAAAATTTTAAGTGCTTATAATCATGTTTTTAAGTGCATTTTCAAGCCTTTATTTTGATGATTTTAAGTGTTATAAGTCCCGTACCCTGTAAATAAATAAATTATAAGTTATAACTTAAAATAGAAGTTATGATAATATATTATATTCGAAACAGTGAATAATAATATATAATATGAAACAATGAACCTTTGGTAATATACTAATATTGAATCAAATTATAATTTGTAATAAATTTATTAAATACAGTTTCGTCATCTTTTTATCTATTAATCATATTGTATATAGTATTATATTATATTGTTTATTTTATAATTAGCATAATAGAATTTAAGCGGGAACATTATAAATAATATACATTACATAGACATAGAATAATAATAAAAATAATTCCACACTTCATAAAATATTATAAATATATCTATATACTAGAGTCCTTTATTGTAGTATCCAATTTTTGAATTGAACTTTTCTGCTGATTTCTGTAACATTAASATACATTTAAGATATGATTAAACATAAGAATAATGATTAATCAACATAAATTAATAAAATAATAATAATACAGATCATTTATCTATATCGTAACATCACGTCATCACATGTTGTAGAAAATGTGGATCATTGCCCATATGTGAAAAAATATGACCCATTATGTATATTATATATATAATTCGATATTGCATCAATGTACTATATACTTATAAATATTGCCTATTGTAATTGATAGGAAATTATTATAGTATGTATATTATGCCATATTGGTTACAGTCTTCCAAAGGTGAATACTTTTATTGCGAATAATATTAATAATTTAATTAATTATTAGTATTATTACGTATATTTACTAGCAAAGTAGCAACCATAGTAATCGCATATATAATAAATAATAATATATATTTTAATTTACTGTGATGTATCAATTTTAAATTTTTTAAATTTAATTTAATTTAAATGATTTAATTAATTAAATTAGGTAGTTTTTAAAATGTTTAACTAGATACATAAAAATATATTTTAAAAGCACACATAATAATAATATATACAGCAGATATACTCCACAATCCACTACTCCAACTCACCCAATAAAAGGAACACAATTTTTAAACATTTCAAATTGATCAGTGGAAATCTTGGTCTTCAAACACAAACATTGAGCAAAATACAACGTTCGTCATTCCCTTGAATGTGGTCTACGGTCTACTCATATCAACACACAACCCGCCAATCACTGTAAAAGTGTAAACACTCCACTGACAGCACTGTCATCAGCGATCTCTTCTTGGAAATATTGTCTCAATAATACTCCAGTACTACACTCATATTTACACCTTTTTCGAATTGCTACTAAATAACTAATGAAGAATTTTTTTAATTTCCAATTGACAGTAAATTATAAAAAGCTATTTTATGTATTTAGTGAAAATGTTATGTGTCTACCTAGTACCTACTTTAATTTCTTTTTGAATAACAACAGAATAACACAATCAATTTTGTTAAAAGCTGGTTAGCATAAATATTTTAGTTTTCAGATGATTTTTCAATTAATTCTAATTTTCTTGAAAACTGTTAGATATTTTTATAGAACTAACTATCATATATGCCTTGAACGGCTTGAACCATTACCTCCACATCACTCCATTAAAAGTATGCTYCAAAATAGATACAATCATAAAAACACACATGCATTACACGAATTTCCAATAAATTTCCTCCACAAAAAATCTAAAATACATAAAATGACTAATGTATTGACTATTACATATGATTTTTAAGTTTATTTACTTGTTATGTTATGTTCTTTGTTATGCTTTGTTCTTTTCTTTATTTCTTTTTTAGCTTTTTACTTATATACTGTACACTATTATATTATATTATTATTATATTTAAACAGGTTTTAGTTATAATTTTGACAACTATGTATTTAAGTATAGAACTCTGTGTCTCCTTCACAAGCTTTGCTTTTTGGAGTCATCATCATTTCAAACTTTCATATTGTTATATATTTTTATTTTTCTCTTTGTATATTTGTGAAATGAAATTGAAATAAAATTTATTTATTTATTTATTTTTATTTATTTTTAAGGTACCTATATATATTTTAAATATTTTTAATGGTTCATATTGATTTAACTATGTAGCTATGTAAAACATATTTATGCATGTATAGTCATATAAGTATATATAGTTACTTAAACTTTCCATAGGTATACATCATGGTATATATGATATTGGTACCTAATTTTAATTCATTACCTGTAATTCAGGTTCGAGTTTGTCAATTGATATCGACGATATTTGTGGATATAATGCACAGCACATAGGAGTAGCAAAAGTCAAAAAGACTCCACAAAATGCAATTTGTAAGGGCGCTGGTGCCCATTTCATATTTTTTAAAAGGCCTCTACGTTCTATTGCTTCCATTAATACTGGCGTAATTACTAAAAATCAAACAATTGATGTACTTTGCAAGTACCTATACGCACGTAAACGAATAATATTTAAAATAAATATGATCATACCTATTCATAGTTACACCCATTTATAATAAAAATGATAGAATTATGTAGTCATCCTTACCCATTCCCGGAGTGGACATTAAAACGCGACTTAATACCACAGCCAAAATACCTTGACGAGCCGCTGACTTGGATTCACCTAAAAGATTTTTATTTTCGTCGTACACTTCAATTCCATTTTCCAGCTCTCTAATTTAAAGATAAGTTAAAAATGTTTTTAATAAAATTAAAAACCAAATAATGATAGTAGTTTTAATACTTTATTCTCATTAGAGGTATGTTAATAAAATTGGCTGCAGCAACAGCTGCAAACGGTACAAAACGGCCAGCAACAGTTGGTAATCTCTATAAAGAAGTAAAAATTGAAAGTTATGATTATTAATTATTGCCTTTATTTTTTAACATAACTGTATAATTTAAATTTTTAATATTTACATTGACATCACACCAGTGATTCTTAGTTCCTATATATACAACATTTTAAATGATTACTACTATAATTTTAATTTTATATTATTATCATCGAGATGAAGCGTTTTGACAACAATATAAAACAGTTTTTAAATAAGGTTTCAATGGTAGGTATGGGTATATATATATATATATATATTATTGTACTTATAACGAAAAATAAAATAATGACATTGAAATTATATCTATTTTATTTTATTTCTAAATTAGGAATCTTCTATAATCATATAATGTTTTATACAGTTAAGAGGAATATTTTAATTTGACACAAATATACTATAAATATTAAATTATTAGTTAAATTAATGTTGGATCTTAGATAAAATATTAAAAGAAGTAATTCGCTGTAATAATTACATTAGAATTAAATATTAGAATGCCGGATTACTTATTTAAGTAAATATTACTCATATGATTTTTATGTAAATAATCATTATATTTCTCTAAAGATAAAGTTCTTCCCGAACAAACATATCTAACCCCCCCTACCAAAAAATAGAAAAAAAATTTGGTAAAAAATGGTGATAATTTCGCTAAATATCGTTTAAAGTCATTTGTATTGAACTAATCATACTTTTTATATTNCATAAAAATCTTACTTACTTTAACCAATTTATTCAAACTGAGTGCTGTAACTAAAGCGCCACTTGTAGCTAATACGTAAGATTTAGCCACTTGACTTAAAATATAAAATAATATAAAGTTAGAAATTGCATTTGAATTTTGAAATGCTTTATGTGTTGTTAAAAATGTAAACACAATTATTAGAAAAATAGATTTTCAAATAAATTCTCATACATACTCAAGAGGCATAGGTGAGGTACCACTCCGATTAGTGTAGTTGACTAAAGCATTAAATGATTGATTGAACCATTGCCAAAAAATAACTGCTGGTGTGGTTCTATTTGAAAATAATAACAAAAATTAAAAATTATTAACATAAAAAAATTAACTTTAGATTTTAGATTTAAAAAAATATTAAATTGTATATTGGTTTAACAGTTGTACACAGAAAACTTTACTCATTGTAAGCAATGTTTAAATATAATATATTATTATCATAATTTCCATTTACAAATTAGTAATTACTTAAAATTATCAACAGTATAATAATTATTGATTACATGTCACTATTTATATACCTACCTACTCTGGATGATACGGTATTAGGCATTGTTTTAACATTTTCAATGTATAGGTGGATTCTGTTTTTCTCAATCTATATTTTCACAATAAAAACAACTGAATCACAAAATAAATGTATCGGAAGTCCTCTTTATTAATGCAAATTTCACCTATGCAAATTTAAGAGTGGAATAGGTATCAATCCGATTTTCGAAAATAATACTGCTTGGTTAAAGATTTAATAGAAAGTATTATTTTTAATTGTTTGTTTTTAATTCAAATAAATTACTAAATAACTAAATATTCATTGATAATTATGCCAATTTCATTGTAAATAATTTTATTTACTATATTTTTATATATTTTTTTTATTTTTATAAGAAATTTACAATCTGTTCTTACCTAGAACAATAAGCAAATGTGCATAGGGTATTTACATATGAATTTTTTSAGGGAAGAAGCCGCCCATTGGTGACACTTCCTATTTTGTGTTCTTAAATTTTAAGTTAAGCTAATTTTAATTTTGAGACAGAAGGTCATATTTTTATAGTAAAAAAACTAAAATTTTACTGAATATTATTATCATATAAATTATTAGAATATCTATCCAGATAAATTAAAAATGTACTCACTTGTAAAACGTAACCATACATCCAGTAATAAGCATATTCATAGGCACTTGAGCAGACATCCTCCCAAAAATTATCATTTTATCTCCTGTTTCAGGATGGAACGCTGAGTCAACTATGTCTTTAGCCTTGTAAACATCGTCTAATGTCAAGCCATCGGGTATATTGTCGCCTTTTCTAAATAAATAACATATCAACTTTATTATAACTGGATTATAAAGTACCTATTATTATATGTATATTGTATACTTACTTATAATTGTTGACGATTTCTTTGCATTTCTCCAATTCCGAATTTGACTTCAAAATATTTAATGGGTTGGTAGTAGTTAAAAAGTACTTAACTCGGCCCCAATACTGAGTCTGATCCCAACGGGGAACGTCCAAATTCACTCTTTCAGTCATGTTTATAATGTATTAACAAAGTTGTAATAACCCGTGTAATGCAATACACAAATTACTAATCGTCCAGACTACAAAAATTTAACACTGTAATTTAACATATGCGTATAACTACTAACTAGTTTAAGTAGGAAACATAATATTGTATTATCTCCGAACTATAGTTTTACACTATTATARTATATTGAAGAGGTCAATAGATCATATATAATTTAATTATTATCGTATTTTGATTACAAGCTATGATCTTATTTAGCACTTTGTATAAGTACATATTAAGCACAATACTGTACACTTTTACAAAATCACCGTAAATAAAATGAAACAACTTCCTATAAACATATCCATTTAGCAACCAATTAAGTAAATGTAAACACGTGAATGTGTATAAATGTGCATGTATATAATTGTAGCTGATTATCTGAATAAAATACTAATTCCATATGACCACATACATCGATAATTTTCACATTTAAATATTGTAAATAATTTACTACAATTTTACTGTAATATCCAAAATTCAATTAAAGATTATATGGAAATTCGATTTGACAGTAAATAGTTCATTATTTGTTATAATATTATAAAGTTATAACCAATAGGCAATAGCACCGATTTTAAGTTTTTATTATTATTTCCAAATGTACCTAATTGTTCCTTCGAGGGTGTTTATAATCAATAAATAAAAAATTAATTGCAACCCCTAGGAGTCACCAAAAACTTAGAAGTATCTTCAAATGTCACTATCAATAAATAAACCATTTAAACTAAAAAAAAACCATTTTAAGACACTAAGTTTTTTATTATTTGACGCACATTTTTAATTCCAGGGGTTATTTTTTGGTTTAGTTTGAATGAACAAAAGTTAGAATGTTATATTATATTTTACCTATTGTAAATTTATAAATTTACATCATGATATCATAGCGATTTAATTAAAACATAAATATGTTAGATGAAATAATAATGCAAATCTTTAATTATTTGTATATATGTAAGTATATATAATACAAATTATCATGTAATTTTATAAAGAACTAATACTTAAAGTTTTAAATTAAAATGTTATATATGATATATAGCCTTGTTTTGTTTTTTTTTTTTAATTAATAGAATCAAGTCCGCGGCTACTATGGACATTGGACGAACTTGCCTTGTTTTTGGTACGTGTATAATATACCTATATGGCTATCTACAAAAAAGTATTATTTTCAACAAATGAATAATAATAAATATTAGAAAAATTACAAATTAGTTGAAACGCCTTAAAAATAATTTTATAGGCAAATTAAGTTGCATGCCTTTGTCGATTATAACATTATAATATAGGCCAGATAAGCAGATATTAATAGAAATTAATAAATTTCTTTGGTTTCAAAATTGGCTCATGTTTTTTAAAATTTTTAAATAATCATCCACCACATTTCGTAAGTATAATTTCAAAATTTTCTTATCACTTTATTTTATACTATGTAATATGTATCTAGGTACTAAAGTCTAAAAATAATATTGTATATTATAGTTAATATAGTTTGTAAAATATGATTTATAAACAGCAATATAGCATACAATATGCACATTATAGTATTATACTAAAGTTGAATGTATACAGTATAATTATGTGCAATATAAATCAAACTTTATAAACAACATGAATATTTTTATCCAACACTTGTGTAGTATGAACTATATGTCTATATTAATTGTAATAATTTTTWAATTTTCCAGTCATTTCTGGCATAATAATTGTAAAATATAGTGAATAAACGTAATAATTTTTTAACAAGTGTTTTGATTCAAATTTCAAGAAACCTTTATAAAAATTACTAAAAACAACTATATCTTATATATTATAATAAATCTCGAGTATAGGTCATTAATTACAATAATTTAACTCAAATTTGATTCCAATGATAAATAATTTTATAATGAAAAACGATTCTCGCGCTGAGACCTAACTTTTAATGATATCTTGTATCTTCTATTTTTCTATTGTTATAATTTATAAAGTGTGTAACACTAATTTATATCAAAAAAATTACATACCCCAACCCGAGCCAATGTTAGTACTATATTTAAATATAATGGTCATTGGTATTTATCTTATAACATTTTCAGAGCTAATGGATAAATGATATTGATAAGTAAAATCAATAATCTCGTAAAATGTAAGGTATAAATGTATAATGTTAACATTATTAACTATCATAATTGTTAATTATAAGCCGGCATATATATATATTATATGATACGTGTAATCATGGTTATTTTTCTATTAAATGCGTATTTAATTATGTTAGAATCTACATTTCATAACTATGTACCTATAAAAAAAAAATTGTGTATATTTTATTATTTTCTAATAATGGTATTAAAAAAAACTTATGATGAATCATTTCTTAGATTTGCAAGTCTCAGAAGTCAACCTAAAAAGTTCTAAGTTAGTAAAAACAGAAGTTTTTTTCAGATGATAATATGTTTTTTATTGTAAAAATTATAAACTAATAACCGTAGAGACTTGAAATATTCATAAGATAGTCATCAAATATTCATATTAACATTTAAAAGATGTGAATACATGATTCAAGTTTCAAAATCTATATTTTTAATCACAATTATATTATTTTATTTTAATAGACAGGAGACAACTTTACACAATAACATATTCAAAACATTTAGATTAATGTTAGCGTTGTTAAACTGTAGCCTATATACCACGAACATAATATTATGCACATTTCACACCGTTATACTCAAGATACCGTTAAAACAAGGCTATAATATTGAGCATATAGATATACGCATATATATCAGAACGAGTATTATTATACATTTTGTTAATTAATCAAAACAATTATACTTATATAATATAATATTAATTATTTGTACACCGTGATATTGCGGAATGAATGAATGAAAGATGACGATCGATAAAGTATAATGTATATATTATATAATGTATGCAATACCTACGTATAATATAAAACAATAAAATATAAATACATTATTTACTATTATGATAATTAATAATTTAGTAAATGCAAAGTTTAAAAAAAAGTCAATTCAATCTATCAATTACCATATATCTAATAATAAATTCATTTACGAATATAGCATTATAATATAGTAACATTTCCTTAGAAATATAGAGGACAATCATTTGTTCTTCATATGCAATGATTAAATAGTTTATCATTGAATTTTAATTGTACATATAATGTATTACAGTGACTTAATATTAATGACAAAACTTTCAGACCTATACTATAAAGAAGAGTGACTTCCTCGATTGTTTATAGTACCAACTATGAACTAGGTCCAATCGCTTACAGTTTACCGCAGAAACCACACTCAAAGTTGAAAATTAAAGGATTTTTACTGCACCAACGTGGTGACCATAGTTATGACGTTATGAGTGTTATAACAAAAAATAAAATAAAATACACACTCGTCATTGTAAAACCAATGAACGTTGTTCAAATGAGAAGTTAAAATAAGAACCTAAGTAAAATAACGGTCGGTTTACATTGATTCTAACTGTACTACTGTACGAGTGCATCATATATAATATGTATTACATGTAGGTATAAAAAAATAATTTTAACAATTTAATCATAGATAATTGATTGAAGAACCACCACCATAACTATTTAAATAATTTAGTTAATTTTTATTTTGTGTTTTTGATCGTTAAGTCAGTATTTCATTTATTTGAATTTGAATTATTTTTCGTGATTGTCATGAGTAAGTTAATCAATAGGTAAGTAATATATTACGTCAGGTACATGAACTTACAAACTAAGATGAATTAAAATGTACTTATCAGTAAATACTCTTTATTCTTCTTTTATTGGCGCGTTTAATATTATGTAAGTAACTATTATAATTTCATAAATTTATGTTTTTAAACAGGTTACAGCGCATAAGTTACTACGTTTTACTTTAAAATGTATCTAAATACCCATTACCCGCTTATTAATCAAAAAAAAAAATAAATTTAATAAAATATTGTAGAAAGTAGAAAATAAATAGGTATATTATTTTTTAAATTCAATCTATATTTTGCAATAAAATGCTAACGTTTAACTAAATATTTTATACTCACTTAATATAGTACGCACTACGAAATGTATAAATGCACTGACCACTGACCAACGAATAACGACTAAAATATTGTCAAATATCAATTTCAAATAATATGATATCAACGGTATCGCTAATATTGAGATAAATACAATAAATAATTGGAATAAAAACCAGTCTAGCTGGGAAACGATTTAATTTAACTTATTCCTCAATTTATTATAGGTAGATTAGTTCATCTAACACCATACACGACGTCCTTGGGTTTTTAGGTACTGAGAGCATAATATTACTTTCTCTGGTTTGTCAAGTATGGTTATTTTTATACCACTCAAGATTGTATAGGTACTTCTTATTAACTTCATTAATTAAATAATTTATACTCACCAAATTATATTGTTTAATATTATCTTATACCTGTATATGTATTAGGTATATAACTTGGATAATTTTTTTTTAAATAATAAAAATTCAATTCTATGTCTAAACCTAGTGGTTAGTGGGATGATAAAATTAAATTTTCCTCAAATCAGTCATTGCTCATCACTCATAATTCATACTAAAATTTTGTTATTACAATAGTGCAGAATTAATATATTTGAACAAAAGAAAATATTTCATTTTCGTTTTAGAAACGGTTAAGCATTTACATAACAATTTTGAGGTAGAAAAAAGTTATTGACTGGAGAATACACATTAATTTAAACTGTAAACTACCTAGGTGGCCAGATACCAACCTACATGGCTATAATATCGATTACTATTACCTTAAATTATAAGAAATATAATATGTTCTATTTTACTACTGTCTATCTAAGCACTTATATTTATAAAACCGTTCATATAAATATAAGCTATCAAGTATTCAAAGCAAAAAGTATCAATCAATAGAAATATAAATGTTGACTGTTGCCCATAATTATTACTTAGGTTATAGACAAATTCAAATTCAAATTAGTTAAATCTACATTACCTAATACCTATTCCATTCTAAGTGTAAATTTTCTATTTGTGCTAGTTTAATGTAAATAAAACTTAATTAATATTTAATATTAACACAAAATGCCGCTGTATAATAATATAACCTGTGGTCATGGCCAGTAAATTTAGACGCAAGCATAGTTAAATTATATTTGTAGAGAATATAATATTATAGTAACTAGTAAGTACTACATAAGTACAATTTACTGTCTAATGCTGTTGACTGTTGTTCGGTGATACTTTTTGTACCATAAGGCATKATAGACTATTCTCAATCAGACAACCATAGACTTATAATATACAGCCGCGGCATAGACCAATAATAATAATAATTCAAGCATGATTTTATTTTTTATTTTATGAAAATATCAGACCAACATTATGGTTTTCAGGTTGGTCATATTGTTACTTATCAATATGTTATCTTACGAAATGTAGACGGCAATTAATGTCAATATTTCTTCTTCAATCAATTCTTCTATATATCAATTATAGTAATAGTCGAATATTTGAATACTTCTATTCTCTATGTAATATAAAAATTACTGTCGAGTGGTTCACTATATTTCTAGTATTGAAAGTACTTATTCTGTAAATTGTTATAAATTACACTTTTGTTTTTTTTTTGAAATTGTCATCATTGATTATTTGTTTTCTTTATCTATGTCGATGATTTCATTCATACTAAATGACTGATATTTTTAAAGGTAAGAAATGGGCGTTTTTTTTCGTTCTACTTATTCATGTTTTTACACATTTCATTTAGATATTAGGTTATTATTTTGTAATTCATTCATATTTACTATTTAGTTTAAAATTGTTTTTTTTTGAAAATATAATGTGGGAGCGTAAATTATTTATATATTTTTATATGTCCAACGTATTTTGTTAACCCAAAGAGCGCTCAAGCTCACAGTGCTAATAAATAAAATAATTTTATATTAATTATAAGTTATAAATTATTTATTTTATAAAAATTATTTATTTGAAAAGATTTTTTGCGTCTAGGTAATGGACACTAGTTTTACTATGTTGACCAATTCCTTAAATGTTCCATTTCTTGGGTATTTTCTAAAAATTTTGGAGCACCCTCAATAATGATTCAGATTTCTCATTATTTGTTTTATTAGAAGTTTTGTAAATGAATATATTGAAAAACTAGCTAAATTCAAAAATAATAAATTTAATGTTAAGCTAGATTTTAAAAGATAAAATAATATTTATTTTTAGTTATAAACTATAACATAACTTGCAAAAAAATGTATGAAATGTATAAAAATATGTTTAAATTATACATAACTTTATGTCACCCTTGATTCACACTGATCACTGTTGTAGAGATAAAAATAATGGTTTATATTTATTGCTGTTATAACTTTTAATTATTAAAATTGACCAAATATTTTATACAATGCTCAGTTAACCAAATACCTATAAACTAGTTCACTTGTTTTTTTTAAACAAGTGTGTATTTTCTGTTCTCTGGTAGATACTGAATTGATTAATTTATGTGATGTCTAGACAGATTTTATTAAAAAGGAAACCCTTTTAAATACCCACAAATGTATTATTAAAAAGAAAACAACAACTATATTCCTTGTTTTTAGATTTTAATCTGTGATTTTTGGTTTTAGATTTGAGCGATATTTGGGATAGGCTTTTTAGCCACCGTCCTTTTTTACAAGGAGAAATTAAGTATTTTTTATCAGAATTTGATGTAAGACTAATTAATTTGTAGATTACCTATATTATATTATATTGATAAATAATAAAATAAAATTCATAAAAAATTAATWCCAGAAAAAATCATATAGAGCTGATGAAGAAAATTTAAAAAAAATCAGTGAACTCGTTAATGATTTAAAAGAAAATAAAATTGAAAGATTTTTGAAATCAAGTGGTGAAAATTTATTTTCATTAAATTCCGCCATTACTGAAGCTTTGAATTTGAGTCAATCAATTTTGGATCAAGAAAATAACATTATTTCAGTAAGTTTGCTTGACAATAATTGTAMGCATAAMAAATACTTAATATGTTTGGTTTGAATACTTTTAGGAAGAAGACTTGAAAACTAAAGAAGAATTTCATGAAAGACGCCAAAGAGAATTGGAAACATTTAAGACTGATCTAAAAACTAGATATGAAAGTATAGATAAAGATATTGAAGATAAGGTAGAAGCAATTAAAATTCATTTTGAAGAAGACATAAATAAACTTATCGCTGACAACCAGTAAAAAAATATGGATTATAAAATTAAAATTAAAACTGATCCCCAGTTTTTGGATTTGTTTGAGAAAATTGAAAAGTCCAAGGTTGATATTCCCGCTCATATCATTGAATGTTTTTCTGTTAAAATGTTAGAYCTAGAAGCTTTCAAGTGGTTTAGTGAAAATTTGAAAAAAATTGATGGTCCTCCTTTACACACATTAATCACTGAAGAAAGTATAGTTTTACCTAGTCCGCCAATTATCGAGTCAAGTCCAGAGTACAAAGAAAAAATTAGAAAATTGGAACAACGTCTAAAGAATAAAGAATATGATGCTATGACAAAAAATGTAGATTTCCGAAGAGTTAAACTACCCGAAGACACAATTTCTTATCAAAGTGAGACTGTTTAATATTATAATTAATTCAAATTTTGATTTTCCTTTTTGTGCTCCTTCTAAAAATTATTAAACTTACAATATCTCAAAAACTTGATTTTCACTCAGTAGGTTATAATATATTGAATGAATACACAAATATTTAATTAACTATCAACTTTATAAAGAGTCTGCTAGACTGTAGTCCATATGATAAAAAATCTGTACTTTCCTGTTATTCGAGACTACGGGTATTATCGCGACTACCACCCAAGACTACCTCCAGTATCGCGACTACCGCTGTTTTTATGCAAAACATCACAATCCTGTTATCTAATAGTACCTTATTTTTATTTTTATTAAGAGAATGTCGTACATGCAAGGGCGATCTTAATTAATTTTTTTTTAATCTGTAGGTATTGAGGAGATGTCCACATTCGAATTGTATTTATATATAAAGAAAAAGAAAATATTAAAATCATTTGTAATATATTTTTCACGGCGCACGCTAGAGATGCTACAGCCAGATTAGTCAGACTTGGCGTAAATGTAAAAATTATAAATACAAAAATAAAATAATTAAAAATTATGGCCACGTATTCAAATTATTAATATTAGTAAAAAAAAAAAGAAATAATATTAATGTTGTCACCAAACATGATCAAAAATGGTAAAATGATATTATATAATATTAAATATTAAATGTAAAAATAATAAATCCACAAATAAAATAGTAAAGAATGATGGACACACATACAAATTAATAAATCGAATTATTAAATTAATAAATTTCAATAAAAAAAACTCATTATTTTATATTTATATAATGTATTTGCGACGCTAAAACGCAGYCTATGGATATCATTCAGCTAATTGTGRTAGTCGCAATAACAGAGGTAGTCTTGGGTGGTAGTTGCGAAAATAGCYGTAGTCTCGTATAACAGGAAAGTACCATTTTGGTAGTCTTAGATAACAGGATTGTGATGTTGTCAAAAAATAAAGTAGTCTCACATAACAGGAAAGTACCAAAAAATCTATTGTTACTTAGGCAACATTTTATTCAATTAAACCATATTTAAATGTATGTATAAATACAAGAAATTGTATTTCATAACCTTGACAGCGTTTTGAAATTTGATATATTTTGTAAAAACAGTTTTTAATTTTATATGAGTGTCTAAACTTTGATCAATTCCTGTTTCAATCATTGCTGATGTATGGGCGTTTCTTATTTTTATTATACTCAATGACAATAGTCATAAGTGGGTTAATCTGTCAGTGGTTATTTTGAATTATAATATTGACATCTAAGTTTTGTAAATAATATCATATTTTTTTCCATACAAAAATTAGTTAATAAGTAAAATATATTGAARGTCAAGTAGTTTGTATACTGCTAGTTTCTGATTCTTAACCTATAATATTGTAAGAAAGTTATCTAATATGGTACTTTTTAGTTATTATACTCTAAAATACTGATCCGTTATTGTACTCTGTGCTGAATGTTAAAAACATTTTGTGACAAAATAATAATATAACTATACAGGACTAACATCCATTTAAGGGCGTACTCTAACTATTTCAAAAAGCATTAACTTTTTTTGAATTTTTGTTTTATTTTAACATTTAGGTTTATGTTTTTCTAAAATCATGTAACATTTAAATTTTTTTCGCCCTTATATTTATTGGTGAGACTACTATCAACTTTTGATTTTCAAATGGTAACATATAATTAAAATATCACAAATTAATAAAACCATTTTTTTTATGAATTTACGTGTTCACATTTTTATTTTTTTTTGTTTGATTTGTTAGATACAGCTCCTCAAAGTATTGGTGGTTTTTACAATTTTTCCAATAATTGTAAAGACCAGGAGCTAGGATAAATTCAATATCACTGAATCCAAGGTAACAATTATTGGAAAAATAGTAAAAACCACCAATACTTTGAGGAGCTGTATCTAACAAATCAAACAAAAAAAAATAAAAATGTGAACACGTAAATTCATAAAAAAAATAGTAAAAACCACCAATACTTTGAGGAGCTGTATCTCACAAACCAATCAATGTAAAATAAAAGTTTTAACATGTAAATTCATGAAAAAAATGGTTTTATTAATTCCTGATGTTTTAATTATATGTTACCTTTTGAAAATCAAAAGTTGATAGTRATTTCACCAATAAATATAAAGGGTTAAAAAAAACATAGGTAATCCTATAAGTTAAAAAAAAAAAAGTTAATACTTTTCGAGATAATTAGTGTACTCACTTAAATGGATCACCCTGTATAAGTATTAAATGTAATATAACATACAAATATATAAAATACAATTTATTTTTTATAAAATATGATATATTTATGAAGGAGGCATGAATTTAACAATGTCGCTAATAATTTGAGTAAATAAACAGATATATTTTGATTTTTTTGTCGCCAAATACATTCACTCATTGACCATTGACTGATTGGTTCCTGGATGTCTTTTATTTCTTACTTAATTCAGTAGTACAATAACGGAATCAGTATTTCTTGTCCGCCATCGATTGAAGTATGATAACCAAAAAGCACCTATTATACTTTAAAAATGTTTAAGCAATATTATTTTAGTATAGTTAGATTATCTGTAGTAGCTTATAAATTTTTCGTATAAATTAGATTAGTTAAAATAATAAACATTTTACAAATTGTCTACTAAATAATTTTCCTTATATGTCCCACTATGATAAAAAATAGGTTAGGAGCATAAAAAGGAATAATCAATACCATGTATTGTGCAATCTGTATTATTAAAACACTGACCTAAAGCAATAATATATAATGTAAAATTAATCATTTGAATGTTTCAGTTAAACAAATCAATAGGCAGTTGATAGCAGTTCTCCAATTTGTGATTTCTACAGCTGCTGGTTTTTTATTTGGGTTTTTGGGTATTGAGTTGATGCTAAGTACAACTTTTGATTTGGGTTTTAAGTTATTGTTGGGAATCATATTTGCTCTAATTATAGCATTAGCCGAAATTTACTTTTTAGCCAAAAAATTATCTGAAGACTTTGAGCCATTAGATACAACTGGCGGAAAAGTTCATCAAGATTAATCTTGTTGTTAATTTATCTTACTATTTCTATTTGCCTTAAATTATAAATATTATAAAAAGTATGTTTAAATTTAAAACTATTAAATAAAAATTGTTTATATTTTTATCTATTCATTTGTGTTTGCAAAATATATAAAACATAACTTTATTTTATAAAAAGATTATTGGTTTTAATATTTAGATTATTTAAATACTGATTTATATATGTTTTTATGGATCTAAACGTCATGCAGAAATTTAAATATACTTGTGAAGTTTGCAGATTTGATCAATGATAGTTTTACATGTTGAATATAATATCCAGGGTCGTAACTACCTGGAGGGTTTAGGGGTTTCCACACCCCCTTCCCTTTAACAAAGAATAAAATGTACAAATGTCTATTATATTTTAAAATTTAAAATTTAATTTTTTAAATCCTTTTTTTTAACTGAATAAAATATACTTAATATAATACGGTAAATGTATAGGATAGTGTCAAAGGTGTATTGATAGTGCCAGTAGTGCATCGTGATAATTTATTGCTAAGAGTTTAAGTAATAAAACAAAATAGAGATAGGTAAATTAATTCCAATTATTGAATGCATTCAGGGTCGGAGCCAAGTAGGGTCAGGTGTTTGTGACACCCCGCCATTGGATAATCGTCATGAAAGTTGGCACTTTCGGCAAACGAAATTTTTTAGACATAATAACCTATTTTTTAATTTAGTATTTACATARAATTTTTTTTATGATCTGTTTCAAAAAAGAACCATAAGAACAACAGAGGTAATAGATAGACATAGAAAAATAAAACATATTTTAAAGACATGGATATTGAATTATAAAATAAAAATAGTTCCGATATCAGTTGGCAATTGGCAATTGATGATTGATATGAATAAAATATGTACATTTAGAAGAGTCCATGTCTATTTTTAAAATTGTTTGTATAAACCACGGACTAAGATATATCTTAGTCCGTGGTATAAACTAATAAACATTTTCCCGTATCCCGTACATCCATCTATTACACACCAATCGTAACTATCTATAGTATYTACTCGTAACTATCGTCTGTGTGTGAATAGGTTCTAGGTATTGAAGTAATATAATATAGATTAGCAATCACAAAATGTATTATTATTATAATTTTCACTTTTAAGTGTTAATTACTATTTATAATGGAAATAAAAGGAAAATAATTAAGAGGACGCCTCACGTAGGTACGTGTTGTCTCCGTTGTACAAATTCGTAGCATATCAAATTTTACGATAGATCAATTTTTCAAGAAATCTCATTAGTTGTGTGGGATGAGGGTAATCGGAAAAAAATCCCCGGTAAATAATATAATATTAGTTAGTTAATCAATAAAAAAATATATATATATATATATATAATTAGGCACCTATACTAAAATTATAGTCAGATTCGGTTCAGTCAGTTCGTTTTCGTATATTAATAGACACAGCTGTCAAAAAGTCTCCAATGCTTAATTTATCTTCACTCTGTCTTATAACTAACTCTTTCAAGCGAATATTTATTGTTTGATTTTGTCCTCTTTTTGTACGTCTTGGTTCACCTTAAACATCCAATGCTAACTGCTCGATCGGCGTCAATTTCGTTTTTAATTTTCCTAATAAGTTTTCATATTGTAGGATGTTTTTGACCAACTAGTTTGGAAACAGTCATATTTATGTTTTTATTCATACGTGTTCTTATTTATACATTTATATTTTATTATTTTATATTTTTTTCATACTTAGTACAACTTTGAATTTACCTATTAATTAACCTATTTACCGGCGATTTTTTTTCTGGGGATTTTTATTCCGGGATTCACTAATTACCTACTAGTATCTAATACGAAATTATCGTAATAACTAATATTATGTTCTACCTACATATTATCGCTGTAATTACTAATTGTACGGCGTTGCATCAGCCTCTATTTCTTAATCTATACATTTACAATTTATTAAAATTGACACAAATCTAAAAACACGTTTACTAAAATTTAACCGATTTTGATTCAAAACTGGTAAAATGCAAAAAAATCACAAACAACTAAACCCCAAAATATGCAAAATAAATAGCAAATTTGAAAATAAAACGCCATCACATAATAACATGTAACAACAAGTGATGACAATAAATTAACAACAATTTTTTAGTAATTATAATTAATATAACTTTTTTTTTCATTTTTTACACTCCAGCCGATGAGCAAGAAATTAAAAATATTATTACGAATTTTACACAATCATGAATAATATATTTTTATATTTTTTTTTATATAAAATAGCAATAAAATATAAATGAATAGAAAATAGGTATACCTGGTTAAGTTTTTAAGATAATACAAAATGTTTCATTTTTATTATTTGTCTTACTTGAAATAGGTATTTAACTAAACATCTTGGTGGATAGTGAAATTGCATAAGAATTAAATTAATTTACTATTTGCCTAGGAATTTAGTAAAATTAAAAATAATAAAATGCCCGACTTGACTAAAATTATTGTATAAACGATGTTACGACTCACGGACTTGGTAATTTATTACGGTTGGGTCCGCAGGCCAGTGTTGCCACTGAAACCAATATATAACATTTCACCATAATAATGATTCATTGGTGTGCATCATGTTTATTTATCATAATATATAAATATATATATATAATATCTTGTAATGCAGACTGTCTAACTACAACTTACTGTATGTCTTCATGTCTAAATTATATTATGCCTTTATAATAATATTGTTAGAATAATAGAATTTAATTTATGTCGATTGTTGTTAATTTAATTAATATTTCGTATTCTCATTAGTCATTAGTGGTTTTTAAATAACAACGATTAATGACATAATGTTATTTGAATGATATTTTCACGTCGATAGATACTCAATAGGTCCCTGTTAACGTTTTAATAATTCCGAGTCCAGGCGCTAGACAGTCAGTGCCTTACAATAGTTTCTTTTCGTTGTTATCGAACAAGCGAACAGCGAACGTTGTGAATATGAATTCCCGGAACAACTCACGTCTCATTTCTAACAGCTTACCCAACTCCGAAAATAGCGAGTGAGTGTTAATTTAATATAATATTTTATAGTTAGGGCCGAGTGGTCAAATTTCCTATTGTACCTAAGAGTTTATTTTTATTTTTAGTGATGATGGTTTATTTGTACGGAATGATAATATAAGTGCTTCGRTCCTCCAAAACCTCTCAAGAATCATGATGCTCCAGTCTGATGATAGCAACGAGTAAATGTTTATTTAATATTTTTTTTAGCTATGGATTGAGTACTTGAGTGATCAAATTTCCTATTGTAAGAGCTTCTATTTGTTTATAGTGGTCATCTTGAGCAACCGAACCAATCGAACAATGTGAATGAACCTAACCCTTTGAACATCCCAAATGTCCAAAACATTGAATCTGATGATGACGACAAGTGAGGGTTAATTTAATATATTTTGTAGTTATGGATCAAGTTTAATAAATTGGCTACTTATTACCTATAAAATCAATAGTGATTCATTCARTGGTGAAACAAACATAGTCTTTAAAAAGCAGTAATAGAAGTAGATACCTACTTGTGTTTATTTTAAATTGTTGGTGAGTCAATTCTAGGTTGCTTAAGAATTATTTTAGATTTTTCTAGCYACTGAGTTCATTTAAGGACTGTAAGCATTGTGCGTAKTYGAGTAAAACTATTTTCAGAGTTATTGTTTAGACAGACCTTTATGAAATCAATTGTTCCCCMTCAAAACATTATTTTTAAGTAAGTGAGCCAGAATGGCCAAACCCTGAATACACTTGTCACTTAAGGTTTAACTTGCTAATCTCTTGACTAATATAATTTAATAAATTGTGATATTTTCAATCTCTGTATAAATGTATGCTAAAAATATTATTTTAGAAACATTTTTATAACATCAAAGATGAATAATAATTGTATTTAATTTAATTTAAATTTTTTTTCTAGTTTTGAGAATCAAGGATTTATACTTGAATATCTTGAAAGACGTTTTCAAGATACRGTTATCCGTAAGTATAAAATATATTTGTTCTGATATTTTTGAACATAATTTTACATTTTAACATCTTGAATATATAAATTGATCCATATTTCTTATTATATTTAGCCCCATTACCTTTTATTGAAACACCGTATGACCAAAGTTTAACTGCAGCTCATCAGGTAATTATATTTTCATTGTCTATCAGTAAAACCTAAGGATTAAAAAAAAAAAATCATGTTGTTAATTAATTTTATTAATTCAGTAACATTAAATTTAAATATCTTAATGAACAATCTAATATTATGCATTTGTTTATTATATAATAATTTGTAAAAATATCCAGTTGAACATTTTTATAATTGATTGTGTATTCTTTTAGTATTTGGGAGATGGACTTCAAGAAGCTTCTGGACGCACAATATATGAAGAAGGCGTTGTTCATTCTTTACCAATTATTTTTTTAAAGTTAAATTTAATGCCTGGACAAATTCTGCCAATTATAGCTCAATCTTCAGATATTAAACTTATATTAAAATATGCAATAACTCGTAATCGTGCATTTGGAGTTTGCTACAAACTGTAAAACATATATAATTAGTTATTCACTTATAAATAATAATAATATAAGATCATTATTTTTTTATTAGTAATAAAAATAAGCGAACATTTGGTACAATCGCTGAAGTTTTTGAACACTCCGTTGTAATCGAATATTCTATATCTTTTCAAATTAAAGCTATGGGCCATCAGCGCTTTGAAGTCTTGGAAATTAATCAATTTCCTGAAAGGTAACTAACGGTTTTTGATTATTTAAAAAAAAACTATTCTATTTGCATATGTTATGTAATTTTTTTATAAACTACTACTACTACTAGGTATTATAAAATATATTTATATAGACTTTAAAATTATTTTAGTAGAGATATTTAAATAGTATAAATAGATATGAGAGTATATTATATATTGTTTACTCAGTTAAGTAATTTCTAAAATTATGTTACTAGTCAATGGCTACCATTACAGTTAAACTTAAATTATTATTCTTTATAGGTAATGGATATTGTTAATTGTTTAGTACATTATCTCCAGTCCAAAATATTATAGTTATGAAACATTTAAATACTAAAATTGATATAATTTAAAAATAAACAAATGAGACTGAGATCATTAATTTTCAATTTTCAATTAATTAACAATTAACAGTTTCTATAATTTTTTTTAATATATCTATCTATTTTGATATATATAAAAAAAAAATGGGACAGAGACTAAAACTGTCTAGCACAAAACACAACTACAGAAATCAATTGACTACTATAAAAGAATTTATTTTTATTTGAGTCAGATTATCAATGTGGTTCTTCTTCTTCGACAACTTAACGGGCCATTGAGGAGCTGCGCTGCCACTAGTAAGCCTTTCCATTTTTTCTGTCCAAAGTCCAGTATAACATTCTTCTACTACTGCTTCMTCTTTTTTCACTAACTCACCTAATTCATTCTTTAAAATCCTAGTCTGCGGTTTATATCCCCGTTTAATGTTGGCAGTGTTGTTAAAGAATCTTTTGGGGTTATTTTAACTTTCTTCAATTTCCTCAACCTTTATTTTTTCTGTCAGTATTTTTTCACATCTTAGTACTTAACTGGTTTCTTTTTTAAAGTTTTTTTTCACAATTTAGGGTTGTTAGCCCTACGATCAACTTCCCATACCTTGGGAAGAGAGGAACTTAGGGCCCCAGGTTCGCCATACCTGTAACACTAAGTGTCCCCCTGGGGATATCAATTTGGTTATTAAATATAATTAATAATTATCATTTTTCATTTTTTTCTAGTCATGAACAATCGCTTGCTTTGGCTAAAATCAAAATCATACCAGATATTACATTAACATATCCATATAACAAATTGTGTTTACATCCAAAGAAACGTAATACGAGCCATGGTCAAATGTAATACATTTTAACAATGTCCAATAAAATTTAATAATTAAAAATTAACATTATATTATTTAATATGCATAGGTGCCGTAAAAGAGACATGTGGCAAACTCAGTGGCCAGATTGGGTTTATAAACAGTTTGATGTTAATGAACTGGCTTCTCGCCTTTCCAAGAAAGTAAAAATGTTGTGTAAGGTTAAATGATTGAATATTTTTTTAGTGTGTTAATATTCTATAATATATATTATAATTAATTATAAGTAATAGTGTTAAAATACATTTTACAATAATTATTTGCTTATATTTAAAAAGCATGAAATGTGAATTGAATTATATTGCATGTAAATTACATTKAAACTTGTTATGTCATGTACCATAGAAAAAAGTTTGATCAAATTTTTAAATGATATTCAACCATTTTTGTGTTTTGTTATACTTTAAAGATAAAGATGTAAAGATCTCAGATGACCCGTATTTGTTGTCATTCCAAGTGACAAGACTTGGTATATTTAATCAAGAACAAGTAAGCGAGTTGCTTGGTATCGAATCAACAAACCTTCGACTTCAATATGAATTACAGTACTGGAATAAAATTGTGAGAAATTYAAAGAAATTAAAGTAACTACAATGTCTTATCACTTTTTCATTATAGCAATCAATGCAAAAATTCATGTGTGCTCGATCAGGGTGTAACATCTCATTATGCAACATGACTAATGTATTTCCGATGTCTCCTGAAGGACCCCAGGGTACTTTTTGTAACTCTTGGGGGCAAATCCATAACTTAATTACAGTTACTGACCTTGATGATGATGTAAATGTGATAGCAGTAGGAAATCCATCAACTGAATGCTGCTGGTTCCCTGGGTATAATATAACATTTTTATTTTTTTTATTAGATAATAATCATTACTCATTGTTATAATAACTGGTTTTTCTGCAGGTATAATTGGACAATAATTTTATGTCCGAATTGTCAAAGCCATTTGGGCTGGAGATATAAGGCTAATAATATTTTGAAACTAACACCAAAATATTTTTATGGATTATCTATTAGTGCCATAACATTTATTAAAGACTACTTACGTCCAGACAGAGAAAGACTCGAGGAAGTCAATGATGGAGAAATGTTAGTGACATTTTAAGAAATCTTTTAAATTTTCTTTTTATATCTTGTACAAAGTATTTAACTGAACCACAAATATATATCATGTTTGCTGCTTAACATACATTTAAAATTTAATTCAAGAATTTTCAGTTTGTTTTGTAAAGAAAAAAATAGTTATAGTTTCTATTTTACTCATTCRTTGAATCTAGTTAGTGTTTGTGAAAAAAATACTTTAAAAAAAAAATAGAAAACTAATAAAAATAAAAYTTTCTCTATGCATAGCATTATTATTTATTATCCATTAAACATTTTTACTGTCTTAATTGTATTATTTATAGCCATAAGTACTTTTGCGTAATAAAATCCCTTAAAATATACCGGTTTATGAATTTATTGATAATATGGAATTTTTTTCCCCTCGTGTATTTTGTATTTAAAAAGTAAAAAATCAAAAATTGGGTTTAAATTTTTAGCAATACAGATAGTAACCTCAAAGAAAAATTAATTTACATGCAGTTTAGTCAAGTAGGTATTCTAACAGTGTATCATCAGATAGGCAATCCACCTGCAGTAACTTGCAAACACGACAATATCTGTAATAAGTGCAACCTATATAGTATATATAGGCATTAATATCAACTACGCCTATTAAGAAAGATCAAACTTGTTATAGCATGTAATTTTCTGAAACATTTTAATTTTAATAAATAAAAATAAAAATAAAAGATAATTTAATTATTATCCTTTCAATAATCACGGAGTTAATTTAATTAATACTCTCATTCAAATATCTTAATTATTTTCTATCGTACCAAATAAAGCAGTGTAGTGTGCACCACAGGATGAAATTTCCAAGCACATCTATAGCATTGGAGTTTTAAATTGCTATACATATACCTGTATCAGGTATGAATCAATAATCTATGAGATTATTAAATTAAAATAATTCAATAAAAACACAATGATTGTACATAAATAATAAAATAGTTAAACATTTACAACAAAATATTGTGAATAATAATAAAACCAGTATCTAGGCATTGGCAAGGTGGGCGGTGGCCAAGGGCGCAGTTTAAAATGATCACATTAGGGGTGCAATTTTTATATCATATAAATGCTAAAACTTCTTTATAAATTTATAACATTGGTTGCCAAGGGCGCACATAAAGCTAGTTACGGCACTGCATACAGTTCTAAAACTTTCTGGCGATATAAATAGAAAAATATCTTAGGCTTGATTTTTATTAAATGCTTAATCTACCTATGTAGCTAGATTTATTATTATTATTATTGTCTTTCAGAACTGAAATAAGCTTGTGTAATGTATGTTTGTATTAACTATTAAGTCTAAAAACAGAATAATATTGAGCAATTCGTCTCAATCATCATGGGTGTTGGGATTTAAACCACCCCCCCCCCTCTAATAAAAAATTCCAATTGGTTGTAGGTTAGGTTATACATTTTGGTATAACTCTAAACAAATTACCGTAGGTATATAACATTTTCACTGAATGTTTATATTGATATTTTCAATACTTGATAATATTTTCAAATATTTTTAAGTTATTAATAGACATTTTAAATTTTAAATTTTTTTTTATAAATGTCAATGAAATTTTATTCGTTTGATAAAAGAAGCTTAAAATTTTTATAAAGGCTCCTAAAATATTGTTACAATGACAGTTATAAAATATTAAAAATACGTTATCTGAAAGTTCGAACTTTAACAAAATATGTAAACATCGCAAAAATTTGCAATTTATTTTGAATTATAAATTCATAAAAATGTATCTTTTTAAATTAAAAAGATATTTTTGTTATTCAAAAACGAATAATTCTAGACACTTGAAATTTGTACCATATGTTTATTTTATCAATTCCTATACTTGATACAATTTTTAAAATATTTCAAAAATTTTTTTTGAACATTTGAAATTTTCCATTTTTTTAGTTTTTATTCTATATATGTCAATAATATTTTACTCATCGGGTCAAAAAACTTGAAATTTTAATAAAAGGTTCCCTATAAGTTTAGGGACGAAGTTTAACCGGAGCCGGTAGGTGAAGGGAGCTACTATACACTTATTTTACTTATGTTATTTTAACAGKTGTGATTACAATATAAACAACAATAATTTAGGAAAATCGGATTTGAAATTTAAGATTGTCATCGGGGAAAAATAAAATCTAAAACCGTTTTACGCGCGGCAGTAGTGTACCTACAGTAGTGTTGCGCGCATGAGTATAAACATAAGATCGCAAATTTTGAGGGGCTATAACTTCCAAAATAATTGTCTCCGTGCAAAAATTCAAACAGTTTCGAAATCAGCGTTGAAAAACACGTCTTTTTTTAAAAAAAAATCGAAATTCGTGAGGTGCGTGGTAAAGTGCATTTGTTCCTTTTTTTTTTTGAAATAATAACAATATAATTAATATAGAACCAAATTATAAAATATTCTTGACTATCAAACCGTCTCCGCTCAGAATCGTTTTTCATATATAATGATATATCATTGAATTCAAATTGAATAGGTACCATCCATTAAAGTAGGTAACTTACTTGTAACCTACAGTACAGCAGAGTGACATCCTCTTACCCACTTTTTTTATAATTTACGAGTATATCATATGAATACAATCAGAATTATTTATTTTAAATTGTTTTTGTTTTTTCATTTATATTTAAAAATTAAAACGTTCACTGCCGATCACCAATTGCCAATATCTAGATTATCACATAGTTGACACTCGCCATCTTGTTGATTGTTGACGCTATCTATAGTTTGATCCATCCATGTTTAYGCATTCATTGTTATTTTTATTTCTTCTTATTCCTATGATATTGATATAAAATTATTCCTTATTATCTGTAGATTAATTGTACAGTCGGTTTTATGTTACGGCAGTTTAATTAAAAAATTACCTGTGTACAAGTGTACAACTACCTACCTGTCCTACCTACTGAAATATATTTATATATTTTTTTTAATTGTATAAATAATATTAATGTATTATGCAATATAATATATGGACTAAGTAAAAGGGGTTCCTCATAAGTTATTAAAAGTGTAATTTAAAAAAATAGTGAGTACATTTACAGAAGACAATATGATCGCCAAAAGTAAGAATTTTGTCAAAATTATGAAAAATTATTATAAATATTCAATTTTTCAATACTTCATTGTATTAGGTAATAGGTTTAGGTATGACGTATGAACATGGTTTAATATATTATACTGAATATTCAGAATATTTATATTTATATTTACCTGTATATTTTAAACAATGATCTATATAWGGGTATGATTCAATAATAAAATTATAATTTAAGAGGTTATAGAAATAAATTATGTTCTATAATTAAACTTTGGTATAATTCAATATTATCAATAAAAATACATTGATTGCACAAATATAATGTTTTAAAACTGTACAAAATATATTATAATAGTTAAAAGTTTACAACAACAAAATGTTGTCGGTACCTAATAATAATAATAATAACCGTACTGCCGATGGCTTGGTGTGATTCTAAATTGTCTGGCGATATTAATAACCGAATCAAAAACTAGTGTTTTAGCATTTGAATTAAATGCATAATCTATATGGCCAAATTTATTATGTGGAATCATTATTGATTGGTAAACGTTTGGCAGAACCGAGATCAGCTTGTGTATAGTCTATAGAAACAGAATAATATAAAACAATTAGACTTAATAATAGATTTAGTTTCTTTTAGACAATATATAGTTAAAAAAAAAAATCCATTATAAATTATTTACACAGGTTTGGTTATTTTCAGCTAGGATTTCAATAACTGAATCAATTTTTTTGTTCAATAGGATATACCTACTGGAATGTCTGGCATAATAATATGAAATTAATTTCAATTTCCAATAAATTGTCAAGATTACGATCACTTGGACACGTAAATAGGCAACTAACGGACGTACATTTCGCCAGCTCCCCAAATATGATTTTTGAATTTTTTTTTTTTTGCTAACCTTATAGTGTGYCATTAGTGTGAATTTGTGCGATACTGGCGATACTGCCATACTGGTTTAACTGTAAATTAATATATATATATATATATAAGGGGGCTGGATAAATGTTCCCCAGCCCACCAACATAGAAACATTTTAATTTCTTAATTTTTCTTTTGCCAAACATTAGTGTGAAATTGTGCAACTGCAATGAGAATTTGTGTGACAACCCTTATACTCGGAAAAATCATTTTTCGTTTTTCACATTACCCCAACTCCCCATCCTAGTAAAAATTGTATTTTTCTTTTGCCAAACATTAGTGTGATTTGTGCGACAACAGTCAGAATTTGTGCAGCACCCGTTATATACTCTGAAAAATCGTTTTTTCATTTTTTTCGTATTTCCACAGCCCCCCCCCCCTATCATAGAAAAATTGTATTTTTCAAATTTTTCTTTTGCCAACAATTAGTGTGAATTTGTTGAAATATAAAAAATTTCAATTATCGACCCATAATCATTAAAAAAAGCATGAGGGCTACGACATAAAGATACGCATGAGATACACTCTGAATATGTCAAGACGTTATTGATACAATTTTTTCTATGAYGGGGGGCTGGGGAAAAAAGATTTATGAAATTCTAGTAGTTTATTTTTTAGAATTTTTCTAAAATTCAATATATTTTTGGTTAAATTAATTTGGAACGTAATAAACTTTTTTTAAAATATGATTTTTGAGAATTTGCTGCTAACATGAGTATATATTTCTTAAATGCTTTACTTATCATATAATATCAACAATTTTTATCATATGATTAATTAACATAATTTTTTTTTCAGGTCTTTCTGTTACACTCTGTATGGCTGTATACTATATATAAAAATGCTATGGGGGTTGCCTTTATTTTCACTCCCCCCTTTGAACATCATGTATAACCACCACTGCAGGAACCTATAAAGATGCTTTTTTTCCAATATCTACCTATTACCTTTCGGCTATCTCATCTAAATCTAATTCAAGAGTTGGACAGTATAGAGCACTGGTCTTCACCAGAAAAATAGCGAGTATGGCGATATTAGTTATATTATTTTAATATGTTATTAATGTATAATGTTCATCAAATTTGGCGTTAAG